TCTAAACAAACTCAATCTGGTTCTTGTTTCTATCCTGAAACAGGAATGGCCGCACAACTGGGAGACGTTCATCAACGAGATCATTTCGTCTTGCCACACCAGTCTTTCGATCTGTGAGAACAATATGGCTATTCTCCGTCTTCTATCCGAAGAAGTATTCGATTTCTCTCAGGACCAAATGACCTCGGTCAAAGCCAGGAGTCTGAAGACTTCCATGACACAAGAATTCTCTTCAATCTTTCAGTTGTGCTCTGAAGTGTTAAATACGGCAAACCAACCGACTCTAGTCAAGGCAACATTAGAAACGCTCCTCCGCTTCCTGAACTGGATCCCGTTGGGGTATATCTTTGAGACGCCTATCATCAACACCCTTCTGACGCGGTTTTTGGAAGTCCCCGAGTTTCGTAATGTGACACTCAAGTGCCTCACGGAAATCGGAGGGTTGCAAATTGGAGCTCCGTATAATTACGACGAGAAGCTTGTTCACATGTTCACAGAAACTCTGACTATCGTTTCGAAGACTATCCCACTCTCGATGGACCTGAAGCAGGTATTTGCGAAGAGCAACTCAAGGGATCAGGAATTCGTACTGAATCTCGCGCTTTTCCTCAGCTCTTTCTTTAGCGCCCACCTGAATGTAAGTCTCGACTTCCGTGGCAGAGACGACGTTGAAAATGTGGTCGCACTAGTTCTAACTCGAATAGCTCATCGAAAAATTACCGAATCGGGATTATTTGACACACGCGCACTTTTATCTTATCAGAATTAGTCAGATCGATGATAGGGAGGTTTTCAAGATCTGTCTGGAGTACTGGACGAGACTGGTGCAAGAGCTGTATGAAGAAATGCAGCAACTCCCGATTACTGACATAAATCCCTTGGTGAACATGGGCGTTAGTGGCCTGTCAAATGGAGGTGCGCCTCACCCCAGCACATTAGTCAACTATCCCCTTCGCAAACACAAATACGAAGAGGTCCTTTCGAGCCTGCGCACTGTGATGATCGAGAAAATGGTACGCCCAGAAGAAGTCTTGATTGTCGAGAATGATGAAGGCGAGATCGTTCGGGAGTTTGTCAAAGAAAGCGATACAATCCAGCTATATAAGACGATACGCGAATGCTTGGTTTACCTTACCCATCTCGATGTTGTGGACACGGAGAACATCATGATCGAGAAGCTAGCCAAGCAGGTTGACGGATCCGAATGGTCATGGGTTAACTGCAACACCCTTTGTTGGGCAATTGGATCGATCTCAGGTGCCATGAATGAAGAGACTGAAAAGCGTTTCCTCGTCACTGTCATCAAAGATCTGCTTGGTCTCACGGAGATGAAACGTGGGAAGGACAATAAAGCTGTTGTGGCGAGCAATATCATGTACATCGTCGGACAATATCCTCGGTTTTTGAAGGCCCATTGGAAGTTCTTGAAGACAGTGGTCAACAAATTGTTCGAATTCATGCACGAGACACATGAAGGTCGGTTTTGGATCATTTCAATGAGAATAAATATGTTGCTGACTTCCACTAGGTGTTCAGGATATGGCCTGCGACACGTTTATCAAGATTGCCAACAAATGCAGACGCCATTTTGTCGCACTCCAGCCGGGTGAGAACGAACCTTTCATCGAAGAAATTGTGCGCAATATGAGAAAAATCACTTGTGATCTTTCGCCTCAGCAAGTCCATACGTTTTACGAAGCGTGCGGATACATGATATCTGCTCAGGGCCAGAAGGGCCTCCAAGATCGGTTGATCGAGAATTTGATGTCATTACCGAACTCAGCCTGGGATGCCATCATTGCACAGGCGAACCAAGATCCCTCGATTCTACAAGATGGCGAAACGATCAAAATCATTGGCAATATCATGAAAACCAATGTCGCCGCCTGTTCGTCGATTGGCACTTATTTCTATTCTCAGCTTGGACGCATCTACCATGATATGTTGAACATGTTCCGGGCGTCCAGTCAGCTTATCAGCGACGCCGTCATGCACGATGGTAATACATTCATCCCCTTTTGACCTGTGTCGCAGATTCTAACGTGCCATTCTTAGGGGAAATTGCAACCAAGACCCCGAAAGTGAGGGGGTTGAGAACTATCAAGAAGGAAATTCTTAAGCTTATCGACATCTACGTGCAAAAGGCGGATGATCTGGAGATGGTCAACGCAAACATGGTACCGCCGCTTCTTGAAGCAGTCCTCGTGGATTATAACCGTAATGTCCCTGATGCACGAGAAGCGGAGGTGTTGAATGTGATGACTACCATCATTCACAAGTTACATGTAGGTTATCTATCCTGCTATGTGGTTCTTTCAGGGCTCTCAGGATGAGTGAATATTGCTTTTCCAGAACTTGCTGCTAACAGATCTACAGAACTTGATGGAAGACAAGGTTCCGCTGATCATGGAGAGTGTCTTCGAAAGCACTTTGGAGATGATCAACAAGGATTTCCATGAATACCCGGAACACCGCGTGCAATTCTTCAAGTTGCTCCAGGCTATCAACCTTTACTGCTTCCCGGCACTGCTCAAACTTGATGCCTCCCAATTCAAGTTTGTGATCGACTCTTGCATGTGGGCTAGTAAACACGACAACCGCGAAGTCGAAAACACCGGCCTCACAATGTGCCTCGAACTCATGAATAATATGGCCGAAACTGATGCCCAAACATCTAACATCTTCTTCCGTCAATTCTACATCCCCATATTACAGGATGTGTTCTTTGTGCTTACTGATAATGATCACAAAGCTGGTATGTACCAGTCATATATCACGTGAGCGCGAATGCTAATAGTCTTTCTATAGGTTTCAAATCTCAAGCAATGCTCCTGTCGCGAATGTTCTATTTTATCGAGTCCGGCAAAGTGCAAGATCCTATTTATGCCCCCGAGCAAGCCCCGCTGGGGACGTCCAACAAGGAGTTCCTGCAGGAATACGTTGCAAATCTTCTGCAGACTGCGTTCAAAAACCTACAAGAGTATTTATTTCTCATCCCACAAGTCTTATAGTTGGTCAGATATGCTAATGATGCTTCAGGGTTCAAATCAAGCAATTTGTCGTCGGACTGTTCAGCTTTAATGACGACTTTAATAAATTCAAAACTCATTTACGGGACTTCCTGATTTCGTTGAAGGAGTTTGCCGGCGACCACGCGGAGCTCTATGCGGAAGAGAGAGAGCAAGCCCTGCGTGACGCCAAAGCCGTGGAGCGTGACCGTGCAATGAGGGTCGGAGGTCTCTTGAAACCGTCTGAAATGGACCAAGAAGATGAGCTGTGACTAGAACAGGAACTGCGCAATGAACTTGCTCCGCCTCCTTCCGAAGAACCGCCGGGGCGTTTGAAAGCGTCCGGGCCGCAGAGTCAAGATCCTCTCGACGGCTGGTCCTTCTACAGCTTGTGAATTGAGAAAAGAAAAAAGAAAAAAATGATTCTTTCCCATCGCTCGCTCCATCTACGATGTATATTTGACAGCGGTGGCAGGCTAGCTTGTTTGCGTCTCCCACTTTGTTCTATTAGTATCTGGATCAGATAAGAATCCGTCTCTGGATCTTTCTGGATCTTTGAGGCAGCCAATGCGACCCAACTTGAGTTTTTTCATCAAGTTCATCACTGACCTATGGTTCCTTAAGCTCTTGATGGCGAAGATAGATGAACCCTGTGGCCTATATCATAACGGTGCTAGTGCTACAGTGCTCATGGTACATTACCACAGACGCCCTTCTTAGATGCTAGTCTTCGTACACTTTCCTGCCCTTGATGCCATGGTTTTTCAGTTTTAAAGGAGAATCAAAAAGCCTCAGATAGTTGCATGTATTATTCGATTGAGTTCACGTATTCGTTTATACAATTGCTTTCTCTGAACATTCGCAACACTTCGCCATGCATGCTTTGTTGTGGATCATTTGGAAAGGCGGGCGGTGAGGTTCCCGCGCCGTGGTCCCGCTTAGATAGGGACGGAGACGACGTAAGGAAGGTATAAGCCACATGAAATGCTCCGTACAACCTCTCCCATTCCTTCCTGCTTCCCCACACAGGGCCTTACCCGATTGCCACATTGTTCACTTCTACTTCGAACTAACTAATGAGGCTGATCTTCACCGATTGCCGGATAATCCTGGACGGGCTTCCATGCTAGAGCGCAATGTCTCATCACCGACAGTTACCGCAAAATGCGACTTCCGGATCTCAAACCGAGTCGTCTCATTCTCACGATCGGAATGGCTCTTCTACGCCCTCAAATTCTGGCATGTTAAGGTTGCGAGCAGAAAACGCGTCCAACGAGGTAGATGCAGAGAGCGGAAGTTCAGCCAGGCACATTCGGTGGAGTGAGGATGTTATCGATAATGAAGGAATGGGCAAGAAGAGCTCCAAAGGTATGTACATATATACGGCTGCGTCATCGATACTTGGTCAATCTCCATTTCTCTTGTTACCAGTCAAGTATAAGATAAGCTAATACGGGTGCAATTTTCCACAACCCCAGTCTGCTGCATTTACCATAAAGCTCGACCTGTTGGCGAAAGCAGCTCTGAATCGGATTCCTCCGACTCCAGCTCTTCTGAATCAGATAGTGATAGCGAAGTAGATAGTGCCCGGAAAAGCTCGAATGCTCAACGCAGCACAAACTCACAGGACGGTCCTTCGAATCAAATACGAAGGGAGCACGCCTGCTCTGCAGACCACCGCCACAAGCGGCCCAGCAAGCGGAGAAAACCGAGTCCCAACGCCTATGAGAAAATGCCCCGGACTTCTAAATAGCGATGAAGAAGACACTTTCCTTTCTCAAAGCACGGTATTGCTGAACGACTGATCATGAGATATTGTAATACGTCTGAAATGCGCCCCATACGTTCTTGCTGTACATTTTTGAAAGACGCCCACCAGTGCATCTCACCTTTGACCCTCCTTACTTTTAATTATCTAATGATATTAAACAAGTTTGGCTTGGACGAAAGTCCTGACAGTTGTGACAGGACTACTAAGAAATGAAATTCAGTATCTATATCATGCCTCTTTCAAGTTGAATCCACCGAACAATGCATAAGAAACAATAAATTCAACGCCTTGCCCGAGAAAGTGCTAAAGTACTCTAAACCTCATAATAACATGCTTCTCCTTCTAGCAGCAGCCCTTTGTCCGCGTTTCATTTGTCTCGTCTCTGCTGCTGTGGGTAAAGTGGACTGTGAATAGATGGTCTCGTCGTGAATCTGCTTGCCGTCTTCGAGCTCAACATATCTGCCCTCTAGGGTGCTGGTAGCATCCAGTGATGATGTATAGAAACCGGCCTGAATCCCCGAATCGGCGATCGGTGTGTCGCTTTCATCGACAGGGTCTTGTCGAGCTGATCTAGGGTTCGAGGAATGTCGTCGAAACTGCCTCCCCCCGTCTTGAAGTTCGAAGTTGGTCTCTGACAAAGTATTGCGTTTCCTCTGAGAAACCATGCTCGAAGGTTGGGCTTGCTGAAAAGAGCCGTCGTCTAAATGCTCAATTGCAAGGAGTTCACGGTCATTCTCCAAAGATTTTGAGTCGCGCGGTTTGCGCTTACTGTCACTGTCTTTTTTTGACGTTTCATCCTCGTCGCCCATGCTTGCTCGCGAAGCTATGGAATTGGAGGATCGTCTAGACTGATCACTGACCGCAGCTATCAGGCCCTTTGTCGGGCGCCGCATTTTGTCTCTCAAATTTGGTTCCGCGTAGCTTACTACTGCCCTTTGTCTTCTTGTCGGCCGTGCCGGAGCGTTCGATGCCATGTCCATTGATTTGTAACCAGACAATTCCAATGATATTGAAGGGGCTTGTAATAATGAGCTTGCGTCGTCTTGGACCACAGTGGGTTCGGTTTCGCAACGCTCATGTTCGTAAAGGATTTCAACATTCTTTGGCTGGTGGCCTTTGCTCTCTTTTGCGTATATGTCATTTGCAATCTGATTCTCGTCGCTCTTGGCATCCCCTTGAAGGGGGTTATTGTAACTCCGATTTGGAAATTCCGTGGCTCGACGTTTTTTCGGTGAGATGATATTTGAATTTGCGCTTTCTGTTGCGTGGTCAGTCAGTGCCCATTGACATAATTGCCGGTTTGACATACTTGGTTCAAGCATCTTCCTCTTTGGATGCCCCTGGCCTTTCTCTCCTAGTATCGATTGAGTTCGCTGTTTAGTTGGAGAAGACCTTGGCCGGGGTGATTGAAAGCTGTCGTCCGCAGGCTTCTGGGGACAGGCGGCTCTACTGAACTGGAAACCGTCGTCATCAGGCGAGCCTACTTCAGGCTCATCATTTTCCTCCATCATGAATTTGCGCTTGGACTTTGCATTGGCGACACATCCTTTCTGCCCTAAATTAGAAGCGGGGCCCAGGTTATGCGATGTCCCGACGGTGGTGATTGGCTTCTTCTTTTTTCTTCTTTCGAGAGTTGGAGGGAGAGGCTCTTCATCTTGCTCCTCTGTAACATCCAGACCTGCCACCTCTACAGGATCCCCTGGATGCTCTTGGCAGAGATCTTCGTGTTCCAAGTCAAGCTGAAGGGTGGAAGCCTCTAACTCTGGTGATTCTGGAGCATCAGAGTCGTTATTGACCATTTGCTGCAACTCCTCGGGACTAATCATCCTTGCGTTAGCACTCCAAATAAAGCATATGGACACGAAATGGAACTTACTCCAATGTCTGTCTCGGGTAGTACTTGTCCTCTAAGATGACAGGCAGTTTTCCTCCATCAATTATTGAATTCCTTTCGATATTCGAAGGTCCATCGGCTGACTTCGACGTCGCTGTTGGTTTCTCAAATGCCGTTTCATCTGAGAGATCACTGGATCGCTTGAACTTGCGCGGAAGGGCCCCCAAGTCGGAGACCAAACCGTTCAATTCCAGCAGTTTATTCTCCAACTTTGTTTTCACATCATTGACACCATCGTGGAGCAACCTTGCCGCATCAAGCCTCTCGATTTCCTGGTTGAGAGTGATGACCTTCTCTCGAAGCGATACATTCTCTGAAAGGAGGTGAGAAACCTCGGCTTCAAGACTGCGTATTCGGAGGGATTGGATTGAATTGACTCGGGCAATTTCACGGTTCTGTCGCACGAATCGTCGCTTCACTAGGAGGAGGAAGCGATACACGTCAATTCCTTGATTCTCTGGATTTCGATGAGGAAGTAAAGGGAGATATCTCAACATAGAGAGGGAGAAAAGGGGGAAAAGGAGGAGGGAGTCAAAGGGCAGCGACTAAGATCACCATATAAACTCACAGATTTCAAAAGACTCGGTCGCGACCGTTGATTCATTCAACCGAGCCATATCTCAACACCGACGCGAGTTTCGGTGTCGCGTCCCCTTCCTCTCTGTTCTTACTAGCAAGGAAATCGGCGACCTAATTTGGTTGAATGGGAGTCTCTTTATTTTGCGTGTTAGGGGTTTCTTAGCATAACTTGCATACTCGGCAATGCCCTGCACGGAGAGGATGTAAACAGAACCTTAGCTGGTTGTCAATAATGGCCTAGGTTGTTGACAATTATCTGTATTGGCTTTAGCGTGACACTAAGTCCGAATTAGGGGTAGCTTCGGGAGGGGTACTGCTGTCAGTATCTCCCAAGTACCAACCCATCTTTATCCATATTATCTTTATCTTCACACGCGATTGTTAACTATCAGGATAAGTGCAGCGTCACCGTCCTGCTTCTAGCCCAGAAGTGGGCCTACTGTACCGAGTTGAGCAGGAGAGATATATTCCCTCGGAGGGTAAACGATGAAAGATACAGATTTGATCTGATGGCTTATCCTTCGCGCCCTACCTCAATGTTTGCGCCGGGGACATCGGCAGCAGCATCCCTTCGCCAACCCAGCGGTCACCATAATATTTCTCAACAGCAGTCCACTGCGCTAGCTTCTCGTATTGCTGCCAAGCAGGCCGAATTGGACAACCTGAAACAACTACGAGACATGAGTGCCTCGCTCGCGGTGCAAATGCAAACCCTAGAAAGCAAGCTGGGCACATTAAAAGATGGCACGGAAGGTTTGTTGATTGACCATGAACTGCTTGTCGCATTCCCTAGACAGACGGAGAATAAAGTGCCACTAACTTTCGCCGCTTTTATAGCCGTCGCGTGTGTGCTTGCAAATTGGGACAATGTTTTACGGGCAATCGGGATGGCTTCCAGTAAGTTTCAACTCTTGGTTGGCCTTGGCCTGCCTTGCTCTCGAATTTGCTGACTCTGTCTTCCCACCCTACAGCAAATGTTGCACATACGAAGGGGACAACGGGGCAGGCATCGGGGGCTGGGCCCAAAGATGGCACCTCCGACGGTCCGATGCCAGCCACGTTGGTCCGAATACCGGAAGCGCAACAGAACGCTTCAAACAAGCGATGAATAAGACGAATTTAATATCTGAATTTGTTCCCGTTTGGGTCGAGTCGTTTTGACTTTTTGGGATGGCTAGTACATATCACACCATCTATCGCGCAGTTAGACCACGTTGGAGAAGATGGCTGGATCGATTTACACTGGACTATGCGTCTATATGTCGGCTCATTTTTCCCATTAAAGGCGTTACCCTTGTTATATCCGACGATCATATCCAATCTGCAACACAATTTGTATCGAGATACTTGTCAGATGTGGGAGCCATACAGCCCACCTGTATTTATACTTCACTCGAGAAAGGCGTCTTAGAGGGTGAAAAGTTTCCACGAAGACGGCTCTCTTATCCGGCGCTTTATCTGGGTGCCGATCCGCTTTTTCAATTTATCTTTTGCACTGAGTGGGGCGGACGCAAAGTGGGCATATGGCGTGTGTAAACCACGTATTGCCATCATACAGGGGGAATACTATCTATCATTCTATTGGTGTGGATGGCTCGGGGAGAGATACCCAAATTGTGAGATGACCAGCGACAGGATAGGTCAGGCAACAAGCATCAAATAAACTTCGGAGTCCTGACACCCCTATTGTTCGCCTCCTGACTTTCAATATATAGAGGTCAATCACAAAGATTACATAACTAGACAAGCCCATTCTAGTGCAGTCATATGTATAAGTATATATACAACCCAGGACTGTTCAACACAAGAATTCTAATTATCGCGCCTTATTATTGGCCTCTGTTTGAACAGGTTCTATTCATATGTAGATCTCAAGGCTGAGTGTCATTGAGCCTGATCATCCCTTTCCCCAGCTTTGAACTGATCTATATGTCTACTGGTCAATATCGATAATCTCATCAACCCAAGTTGCTACCTCCCTAACCCAAGTAATGCAAATTGCATTATCGAGTTGCGTAACACCGTGGCAATTCATGGACAGGAGGCAAATATGCGCTGGAAGACAACAGGTATGCTGACGTATCCATCCCAAATAGAAAGGGAGGAAGAGAGAGAGCATGATGTGAGCGCCAAGTTAGGTTTCATCATGCATGATGCAGGCTGCCACTCTCAGAACCCCGCTGCCGTACTGTCCAACTACCAGGGGAGGTACTTGACCCAGGGCGCAAGAACCTGTCTCAGCCAGTAGGCGCCCATGTCGATGGAAATGATCACTAACTATTCCGTACTAGTACCATGTGTGCATGACTGGAACGCCAGGATGACCATGACCCCGCTGGAACCCTGCACTTCCCATAAAGTGGCAGGCAAAACAAAAGAAAAAAAAAAGCAGACTAGGCCAATGCGCTATTAATTGCATTCGAACAGTACTTAAGTCCTTTGGCAACCAAGACAACAACAACAAAAGTCCATCATCCTCACCACCGTCGATGGTCTATCACCGCAGTCTCCAAACCACCCCTTCGCCAATCGGCCCCAAAGAGATATTAACGCTCTGTGGTCCTCTGTAACTGTCCATGTTTTGAGTGCTACATGGTATGGGCTCCAAATGTATCAATTGGGACTGATCGTACCTGTGCTAGCTAGACCTTGCACTTGGTCCCGTACAGTCCCTTTTTGTTCGCAATGACTCGGCCGTTGGACCCCATCTTTCCTCTTCTTTTAACACAAAACCAGGTCAAATACCATGAGAAAATGACGACCCAATGGTCCCCTGACTTTTGCCTGGTCTGCGACCGACAAACCATGGGAGCTCCTTACTGCACCCAGTCATGCAGGCTGGCCGAGCTAGATATCACCATCCCTAAATCCGGGGAATCCTCTGGCCCAAAGACACACGGAGGCTCAACAGGCACAAGGGGGAATTCGACAGCGACGAGTCTGTCAAATGCACCCGATCAACATGGTAAGGTAATTTCCATAATACTATTTCACTTGAGAGCTCCAACTTGTATAAGACGCCTCTCGTCGTCATATCATCATCTCCTGTCCCTCGAACCCAACCCTTCGAAGGCACTGACAAAATCAGCTCCCTTTGAAAATGAATTACGCCACTATGCAGGATGCTTTGACCAACTTCGCCATTCTAGAAGGCCCTAGCGCTCCCAGATACCAGATCTTGGTTTCATGTCTATTACCCGCAATCCGAATGACTATCCGAGGTTGACTGGTTGGGGGGGGGAAAACACTGTTAATTTGATGCATTTCGAATGTGTTGCAAATCTATACCTCGCGCCGTATAGTTATAGTTACCACCTGTCGTGGTCTCTGTCTACCCGCCATATGACGTTTTGTCTTCATATATACGACTGTGGGTGTTTGTGATGACCATGTTTGCGAATGGCAGCATACTCAGAAAAGAGGCCAGTGGGCTGTCATGACTATGTGAGAAGGAAATTCAAACAGATGTAGTAAATATTTACAAGATATATGTCTGCCATGCTACTTGATATAGACGAATCTCAAAATATATACGTATCTTTTAACTTTTCGGTAAGCTAGTCACGGCACATGAATACTATTCTTCTGTTTGCTGGCGAACTGAAATCCCGTGAGGTCGTCCATCTAAATCCTCTGAAGAAGGACGACTTATCTATCATAGAATCGAACGTCATTTAGTCAACGTACTCCATAAACAAAAGGGCGTGAAGATCGTGATTCTTTCTACTCGAGACACCTGACGCTATCCGAGACCCTTTGATGGTAGATATCAGTTTGCATAACTAGAAATGGCTTCGCATTCAGATAACAAGATGTCAACAGCATGACTACCCATATATGCCAGCGCTATCAGAGTCTGAGCGACGCATTCCCCCAAGTCACCAAGATCCAGCGGCAAATATCAAGCCAAAGCCTTAGTGAGAGCCATTTCGTTCCTCGGAACAAACCGGACCTTGTATTTCTTTGGGATCGCCACCAAGCTGGTGGGATCTGAATTGCCCTCAATAGGGTGCCAGTCAGGCTGGTCGTGGGGTTCAATTTTGAAGCTGTTCAGAGTCCGCATAAAGACGAGGTATAGTTCACGATTAGCAAGGAGGGAGCCGGCACACATGCGGTAGCCCATTCCGTAAGTGAACATGGGTGCATCGGGCTGTTCGAACCATCTTTCTGGTCTGAATTCCTCGGGGTCGGTCCAGACTTCAGGGTCTAGGGTGAAAGAATATTAGTATCGGAGAGTTGCTGTGTTGCTGTGATTTCGAGGACTGGGGTTTTCGGAACAGCAAGGAATTGACTGCGACTCACCCATGTTACATGCCCAGGAATTCAGGAAGAAGACCGTTCCTTTCGGGATCAAAAGGCCGTTGTATGTGATGTCTCTGATAGATGTCCTAGGTAGCGCGAGACGAAGGACAGTATAGAACCTATATGCCAATGATTAACATTCTGGTGTCTTGAAAGGCCGCACTCGAGTAACTGACCTCAAACATTCTCTCACCAAGGCAGCGACGTAAGCACATTTTTGATCATCCCCCGAGTCGCACATCGGTTGGCCCGTACTGTACATTTCCTGAATAGCTTTAACTGCCTTGTCCTGGACATCTGGGCGCTGTGAGAGAAGACCGATGCTCCAAGCGACGAGTGTCGTGACTGTATCAAGGCCTCCTGAAAGCATAGTCAAGCTGATAGAGGTGAGCTCTTCTTTGTTGAGCTTCGCTTCCTTGTCAAGGATAACGTTCGCTTGAATGCAGGGCTTGTGGATGCCCTTTTCCATTCGGTCGTCCAGATCACGATTGAGGTCACCGAGGTATTTGTCACGGCGGTTTCTCATCACCTTTGCCTTCTTCGAATTGGTGCTAAACGGGTTCAAACGCAAGATAGGGACGTAGTCTTGCAGATTTCCCGTGGTGCTCCTGAATCTGCTGATCTCCTCCTCCACTTCGGTGATCTCGTCGAACAAGTCCTCTTCCTGAGAGGCGACCCGGACTCCCCAGTTCAGGGTCAGGGCTAGGCTCAGACTCAGACGTTGTATCATTGCCATGGGATCTACTGGCGTCTTGCCACTGTTTCCATACTTGAACAGTTCTGCAACGAATGCCTTGGACTCGACGTCCAGGTGCGAGACGTAGCTGTCAACGGAGGGCCGGTTAAGGGCCGACGCGGCGCCCTTTCTGCGTCTCTTCAACGAGTCGCTGTAAGGAGATGTGCCGATCGTGGTACCGGCCGTATTGGAGACGATCTGCGGTACGCTGTTAGAGGTATAAAGGGAAGCCAAGCCGCCTAGAAGAAGACACCGACCTTATGAAAAGTATAAAGCTCAGGCCGTGAGCTCAAAGCCTGCGCATTCTGACCAAACAGGACCTTCGCAGCGGCAGCAGAGTTCACGACAATAACGGGGATGTTTCCCAGCTGGATCTGATAGACGGGCCCGTATGTCTTGGACCATATGCGGTACTGTTCGGCGGCATTTTTGCGAATTTGAGCCAGATTGCCGATGAGAGGTAGGCCACGGGGACCTCCGAATCCGGGGACGCGGGCTGAGGCGCGAATGAACTCATTCCAGATGACATAGAGTATGGGAGTCAGGAGAGTAGCTACAGCGAGGGAGTGCAAAGGCGACTGAAGCAGCACCTGCTGTAGAGAGTATATAGCTGCGGAGATGGCCATCTTGTCTCTGCAGTGGTTCCTCTCGATTTAGAAAAGGCTCAGACGTTCACCACCAGGGTGATCAAGAATTCAAATGAAGGGCCATGCATGCCTTTGTATTGGTTAAAATACGCCGGTCCATGTGCCTTTGTTTTGTCCACACTCCGTCCTTTCTCCAGGCAGAGGAACATTTCCGTTCTGCGAGAGGTGCGAGTCGTGGTAATTTCACGAGGTCGGCGTCAACCCCACATTTAGATTACATCCTAGGGAGAGAAAAGCCGGGGTAAGGTCAGCCAGGAATCAGATTGGAGGAATACGCGGTCCATCATTTGGTGCAGCAAGGGTACGGAGATCGAGAGAGCAGCCGAGGAGATTCCGCGCCCGGAATATTTCCGCTTTCCGTTCAACACCTCCGCAAACCTAGGCAAGCTACCTAGGTACCTATATATTAGGTGGTCACTTGTTTAACTTGTTTATCTACGCTCAACGTAATGAGATGCCCCGATAGTCAATTGTCAATTGGTATATTGTATGAGATCTCGTGCACGCTTGGTACGGCCAGAATTGAAAGAGGCTGGTTATGCGCCCGGTAATGGCTCTAATGCCATGTACATAGGATGAGTTCATGTCTACCTCGTATCATGAATAGACAAATGGTCAGACATGGCTTGCTGCCTCAAGGCTTAAAGGTTTAGGGGACCGTTAGACAGAGGCGCCCGATCCCCGAATAAGCAACGGGTATTCAGAGTAAAATATATAAGATATATAAAATATATGACACAACAGTATAGTTACGATATACTATACTCTATATTCCTAGCGCCTTGACCAGATCAGGGTTCTTTATGTGGGGATACGATATAAACTGTGAAGTCATGTACCAGATAGTCTGCCATGACATTGGTGGAGGCCCTAAGGGTGATGACGATGGGAATTCCGGTGGCAAGAAATCTGCTGAGTCAAGGTTACAAGGACAAGGATGTACAAGTACGGGTACGTCACCTCCATTGTGATCTACGCCAGCAGGGCTATCAGGGTCCAAGATATACAAAACGTCGCGTCTCGGTGAATGGCATTATAAAATAGATACTCAAAGGGCCTGTATGCATTTGGAGATCAATGTTGACATGTTTCATCGAGTGGAATATATCCAGCAACAAAACCGGGTTCTATGGCCACATCATCGAATTCTCTGGCCCTGCGGGTGGTAAATTGGAGCGTTGACCCACTCCTGATCTGTGCCATGATATGAGTATGGCCGCGTAATTGTTATGAATGTTCCATGGATTTACCTTAATATATCATATAAAGGAATGAATAGATAAGGGTATATCAGGATTGGCTGAGAAGCTGTGTGACAAGTTATTGTTTTACATGAAGCTAAATGGATTGAATATTAATAGTATCATATCTACGTCCGAGCCATAATAATTCAAAGGAGCAAAAAGGGAGAAAGGGAGTAGGACGGAAAAAAAATAAAACAAAAAGAAAACCAAAAAACTCTTCGCATTCACATGAGTACTTTAGTGGAGGCGTCCTAAAAAAGAATGCATGGCAGGAAGTGGAACTCAGAGCTAAGACAGACCATACACATTCTCTAGAGGAGGAGATAGTCGGTCTCATCCAGGCCTGGACAAGTGGGTCTTTTTCCTCTGAGAAGTTTGACCCAGGAGCAGCGAGAAGGGGTAGGGAATCCATCCCAGGGGAAGACCAGGGCCCCACTTGGGATGGAAAAAAAAAAGAAGGAAAATGATCTACTGCGCTTACTTTCTAGTGATCATCTTTGATTAGTATTTACTATTTAGAATCATTGAAGGGTTTAAAAAAGCCCTGTCACCCATTTCAATTCAACTAGTCATTGAGATACTGAGATACTGAGATACCGAGATACTGAGATACTGGTTATGACAGGTTTTTAGTATCCGTACTGGGAAAATGAATGAATTATGAAGAAAGATGACAAATCCACTCAAACCGGAAGCTCCAGCGTGGCCATGGTCAGGTGATCCACTGGATTCACGTCTAGCTTCAATATTGATGTACTCGGACGGAGGCCATCGATAAGGACCTTTACCTTTTGGAGGTTTGGTAAATTACCGAACTACTAGGCCTGGACTGAGTCTCTTGAATACTTAGTAGAAAAGGCATAGATAGGATAGATGGTACCGACAAAGTACCTCACTAGTTCTATATCAGTCTAAGCCCCACTTCTAGCAAACTTTGCTGGTCACATGCGGGCACGGAGTTCGGGGACACGACAGCGTCTTGATGAAGCATCTCCACCCACGCCCGTCGCTCCCGAGTTCATCATTGGCGGGATGGGACTAGCTTGCCCTGCGGATACCGTCATCGTGACCTCTTAGTAGGCTCTAGCCTGCCTCCAAATTTATTCCCGGATTCTTGTCCTGAGGGAGCTCATGACGCATGAAATTTTCAGGTCGTACGTGGTACCACGGAAGTCGCATCAAGGTACAGGGAAGAGGCGCTGAGGCTTACAGATTGGAGAAGGTTTTCCGGCATATGCATTGACTCATTCAGTAGTAGATTGGAGGACAATTTCATTTATTACCTAGCTGGTCGCCCTATATTCCAACCAGATTCACGTCCATCAATTGGTCTTTCCAGGATCCTCACGCCCTTTTTTCCCCTCCCTTTTTAATTCTCCATCCTGATCCCGACTTTCGCATCCTCCCACTCGATCAGATTTTAGTCTACCCCCTCCCACTTTCCCCTCTCTCCCTCGTATTCATCCCAGCTACCTGTCTACTTCTTACTTCCCCTCCCCTTCTTGTTCTCTCCCTCCCTCTCCCTCTCTCTCCCTCTCTCTCCCTTCCTCTCCAACCTTCATACTCCAGATCTTGCCCAGGTATGTTATCTGAATTATACGTTTTTTCCGCTTTCGGGGATGCCGCGCCCAGAATGCGCCTCCGGTTTGGTTGTGGTTGTCTGACTAAGAGTCGCTGGTTTAGATTTCTCTTGGATTTTCTTGGATTTACAGTGTTGTATTCCTGGCCCTAGGATTCCAATCTTTGGCGCAGTTCAAATTTGCCGGCTGAGAATCTGCCGTCCTATTCGCCCTTTTCTTCTGGTAACTTGAGATTTTCGCAAACACAATGGCCGCTCGTCATTCTCGTAGGTTACTACGACCTCTGCTTTACACCTCCGCCGCCGCGGCAGCAGGTGCTGGTGTCCTCTATGTTTCCTACCGTCCGCGCAATATCCCGGGATCCGAGGCTCCCGCGGTCCCGCCGCCGGGCTACCATAATGGCAAACTCGTGCCCCCGAGTTTCCCCAACATCAAATCTCGCCTCCAACAGATCCAAGACCTGAAGCGCAGTGCTGCAGGTGGTCAAGAAGAATATGATTTACTGGTCATCGGTGGTGGCGCGACCGGTTCCGGCATTGCACTCGATGCCGCGACGCGAGGGTTGAAGGTGGCGCTGGTGGAGCGCGACGATTTCAGCGCCGGGACCAGCAGTAAGAGCACGAAGCTCGTCCACGGCGGTGTCCGTTATCTCGAGAAGGCCGTATGGGAGCTTGATTACAACCAGTCAGTTCTCCCGTGATCCTCGAATCTTTCTGTTCGGCCAGCCTCGAAAAAAGTGACGCTGACATGGAACTCGGTCTTCGACAGGTACAAACTGGTGAAGGAGGCACTGAGAGAGCGAAAGTACTTTTTGAACACCGCACCGCATCTGTCCAACTGGCTCCCTATCATGGTCCCCGTGCAGAAGTGGTGGGAGGCGCCCTACTTCTGGGTCGGCACCAAGTGCTATGACTATTTGGCTGGCGCAGAGGGCATCGAGAGCTCCTACTTCCTCCCCAAGAGCAAGGTCATCGATGTCTTCCCGATGCTGCGGAAAGATAACCTCTTCGGCGCCATGGTGTACTACGGTATGGACACGAGATCACTTTGCGCGTAACGAACGTGCCTTGCTAACTCCCCACTCAGATGGCGCCCACAATGACTCCCGAATGAACGTTTCGCTTGCGATGACTGGTGCTTTGTATGGTGCTACGGTTGTCAACCACATGCAGGTCACCGGCCTCACGAAGGACGCTTCCGGCAAGCTGGATGGTGCTTATGTCCAGGATATGGTTCCTGGGATGGATGGCCAAGAGGCCCAGTCTTTCCCCATCCGCGCCAAGGGTATCATCAACGCCACCGGCCCTTTCACCGATTCGATCAGAAAACTGGACGAGCCTACAGTGCAGGAGATTGTCGCTCCCAGCTCCGGTGTTCACGTGATCCTCCCCGGATATTACAGCCCCTCCGACATGGGTCTCATCGACCCCGCCACGTCCGATGGCCGTGTCATCTTCTTCCTTCCCTGGCAGGGAAACACAATCGCCGGTACGACGGACCAGCCGACGGAGATCTCGACGCAGCCCCTGCCGTCCGAACAGGATATCAACTGGATTCTGTCCGAGATCCGCAACTACCTGGCCCCGGATATCAACGTGGACCGAAGCGACGTGCTGGCCGCATGGTCTGGAATCCGCCCCCTGGTCCGCGATCCCAAGGTGAAGACCTCGCAGGCTCTGGTTCGCAACCACCTGATCACCGTGTCCGCGTCTGGGCTCCTGACGTGTGCCGGCGGGAAGTGGACGACCTATCGCCAAATGGCCGAGGAATGTGTTGATGAGGCGATTGAGCAGTTCGGCTTGAAGCCCAAGGACGTGCTGCATGCTCCGGACATCAGTGGTGTCGGAGGAAGTGGGCTGGTTGCCGACGGCGCTGTCCTTGATGGCTCTTGCCAGACGCACCAGGTCCGCTTGATCGGTGCTCACGGATTCTCCAAGACCCTCTTCATCAACCTGATCCAGCATTTCGGCCTGGAGACGGAGGTGGCGCAGCATCTCACTCAGTCCTACGGTGATCGGGCCTGGCAGGTGGCCGCTTTGTCTGCCCCGACCAACTCTCGCTTCCCCATGCGAGGCCAGCGTCTCTCCCCGCTCTATCCCTTCATCGATGGTGAAATCCGCTATGCCGTTCGCCACGAGTACGCCCAAACCGCGGTTGACGTGGTTGCCCGCCGAACCCGCCTGGCGTTCCTCAACGCCGAAGCGGCGCTTGAGGCGCTGCCCAGTATCATCGACCTGATGGGTGAGGAGCTGAAGTGGAGTGCGGACCGAAAGGATGTCGAATTCCAGTCCGGTATCCAGTTCCTGAAGTCCATGGGTCTCCCTCAGCCCTTGACTGGCCTGACGAGAGCCGAGGTTGAGGCTGGCAAGGTCAAGGCAGCGGAGATTGCCACGCAGCCATTTGCCCGTACTGGTAAGTTTACAAGATGGTGAAACATGTGTCGTTTAAGAGACTAACCCATTTCTCTAGATCCTCCGGCCGACATGCTCAGCGGGGATATGAAGTCTGTGGCTTCTCCCCAGATGCGCGCCGATTCCCCCGCGAACAAGTAGGGTTATATAAATATATATATATATGTACATTGTATTAGAGGATTATGTATGACTATAGAGTAATTCAAGACTTGCCACAATTTGCGGTATTCTCTTTTTTTCTTTGTTGCGGATGGTTAGGGAATCTGCAAAATAATGGTCTACTACATGGATTTAAAAACCCTTCATTAAAGTATCATGGAACCGCTATTTCGGGAGGCATGTGTATTCAATTCAATATGATAGCCACATTTACAAATGATGATCCAATCCAGAAGACATCCTGCGCAATTCGCAACATCAAACCACCCAACGCCCAAAAACGCCACATATCATCATTTTCTGGAATACGATTGCCGTGGCTAGTCGTTGACTCAGGTATGGCGCAGCAGGAAGATGTTTGAATGGAACGAGCGTCTAGATGTGTGCCTCCGCTATGGTTTGCGTGATTTGCGACAGCTGATTGATATCTCCTTCAACCTTCCGTGTCTGTCCCAGATATGCGCGTGGGGTTGGGCACTGGAGACCAGAAGCTTGCCGTTGACTTTCGAGCTAGTATAGAATATCGAGATCCTAGCTCCAGTCTTTGACATACAAGGAGGTCTGGTCTGGTTTGGTCTGGTCTGGTGCGCTCGCTCTGTTTTCAACGATCTGGGAGTGGGTATCGAAGGATCGAAATTATCGAAGGATTCGGTCTGCGCATCGATCGAGCAAGGTAGCCAAGAGAAAGCAAGACCAAAGTCCATTCATTAAGTCTTCTGGCTAGGACTATCCCGTCGATAATTATCCCAAAACCGCGCGACAGCCCTCTGCGCGATGACGGAGCCTCTAAAGCGCTCGCGATGGTAGTTGAACAAGGCGAACTCGTCGCGATCGAGCACGTAACTGTCCGGCTGGCGCTGGACTCTCGACCACAGCTCGTCGATGGCGTTTTCGAGGACTTTTTTGATGTGGGGTGGGATGTTTTCGTCGTCGCGGTCTCGGGCTTCTTCTAGTGCTTGTCGGAAGCCCATTTGATTAGTTGAGTTGGGCATTCTGTGTCAGGTAGTATTCTCTGGTACTGAGTTTGAGAGGGTGTGGTTGCTTTGGGGAATTTGTTTTCTTTTTTTTTTCTTATTGAGAATGCGAATGAGAGTGAAAATCAATCCCTGGTGATATGCATCAATTGGAGCTTTTCATAAATCGGAGTTGTCGATTTTGATGGAAGAGTCGAACGGGCATGATAATGATCCATTTCCAGGAGGAGAGAAGGGAGAGGGGATATATATAAATACACACAGAGAGAGAGAGATATATATGTATTATATTATTTTTAGAGACTCCAGTAGGAAGAAGGGGAAAGGGAGAAAGAAAGAAAAAAATAAAAATAAAAAAAATAAAGAAAATTGCAATCCGAACTTGACCAGCTCCGAACCCTTTTAAATTAGTCTCGTCCGAGTGGAGCAAAGAGGGGTGATGGAGCACAATCATGAGGGACTACGAGGGATGTCTGCATACAATAACGGATATCAATTACTCAGGTAATGGGGATACTATGAGATACTACCTGACTAGGACTTTGTATTCTGTATATTAATAGTCCTGTACCCTGAATTTGGTAGGGGTACTCCGATAGAATGATAGTAATGATACCTGACCCCTTATCTTCCTGCCAAACGCACCTAGGCTGGGGTAGATTCAATATAGTATACTTGTCTATTCAATGTCATGACCCGAGTCTATTGTATACATCTTCATATCTAGTGTGGTGGTTTAGTACTCCGTACGAGAAAGCAAGAGAATACAAGTATACACCTATATACACTCAAAATACCCGACAAGGAACCCAAGAATTCACCCCTTCTTTCCCGGACCCTCTTAAGGGGCAGTCATTCTTTATTCCGGCGTCCTTGCGAGTTACAGAGTAGAATGATGGATGGACGGTGGGGCGGTTGGACGGGCTCATCCGCCGTACGAAGTATACGCTGAGAGCCTAGAGGGTTAAGTGTAACGGTTTTTCTCTCCCTGGTCATCTCGGGGGACCACTGTTAACTGTTAAGAGTATACAATCCCGGTGTCATGACCCACTCTGGAGAACCACTTGAAACATGAAACAATGATGGCCCGATAACTTACTGTTGGATCGGGGTTTAATACTAGGCTGCTTTTTCTGCTCACATCTGTCTGTAATGCCAAGAGGTTGTACCTCGGAGGTAGATGATAGTACCAGGTATTACGCGTCTCGTCAACAGTAAGTTCCCCTTCGATCTCTCGATGATACCCCTGTACATGAGGTCAGATCAGACGTTGAAACACATCGGTTATGACCAGGGATTGCTGGTCTTGAGACACAGCATCATGGTATTCCCCGAGGCCATTCGTTTTTGTTAAGGATATAGCGCTTCCCACGACAACCCATGGCGTCCAACTGCTTGTTTCAAAGGCACATACCCGCTTATCCATGTCGATATCCCACCCTATCCTAGTCCGAGATAATTCAAAGAGTACTTGTAGTACTACCCCGTAGGTAGTTGAGTTGCGAAGGCACTTTATTGGATGGATGTTGGGTGTTCCAGCATAATGACTAATCACTTCAGTGGAAAAGAGGTTAGGATGAGATTGGCACAGATTAAATCCCCACATAGTGTCCCTCCCCACCATCGAAATGCTGCAGTTAGTGACCTGGAGCTCAAATTTTTCCTGGGTTGCACACTCAACAGGTTGACGCGAGGCGATTGATATTCTTTGGTTGAGTTACAGCCGAGGAATACAAGCACAGAGAAGATGGTGTATTATTTCACATCAAAGGTCGTTGAACCTTCCGCGTTCATCTATGTCGGCAAGGACAAATTCGAGAGTATGGTTACGAACATTTCATCCGAAGGTCTATGGTATTGACCTAACAATACTTCGCCAGATGAGGATCTTATAAAACATGGGTTGGAAAAAGATGTTTGGTATTTCACTCCTCCGTCGCTTTACCACTGAACGAATCTTAACGTTGGCGCCTGTATTTATTCTCTAGGGTTCGTTGCCTTGTCCTTCGCGCGACAGAAGGACCAAAAGTCATCTAACACCATCCTCAGTTCCACGTCGACAACCTATCCAGTGCCCACGTCTACCTTCGCATGCGCGAAGGGGAAACATGGGATAATATCCCGGAGCCCCTGCTCGAGGATTGCGCTCAATTGACCAAAGCGAATTCCATAGACGGTATAGCTCGCCTGTCGCACTCCTCGGAGGGAATGCCCCGCGGCTAAACAACTCGATAGGCAACAAACGCGATAACATCACCATAATATATACGCCATGGTCGAATCTCAAAAAGGACGGCTCCATGGCGACTGGACAGGTCTCATTCCATAACCAGAAGCTGGTCAAAAAGGTCCTTGTCCAGGAACGAGAGAACGCCATCGTCAACAGACTTAACAAGACCCGAGACGAGAAGTTCCCTGACCTCAAGGCGGAGAAAGAAGAGTATCTGGCGAAGAAACGGAAAGACGAGAGGAAGACGAGGGATCAGCAGATGGCTAGGGAGAAGCAGGAAAAGAGAGAAAGGCAGCAACTGAAGTGGCAGAAGGACCACGCCTATGATGATCTGATGACTGAGGAGAACCTCGAAGCCAGTAGTAACCAAGACCGGGATCCTGATTTCCTCGACGATTTCATGTGATGTCCTCCGAGAAGGCTTCGGTCTGCTTTGCTACTGCAAGAAATTACCATTGTGTATGGTTGTCAGCAATACGGGGCAGGACGAGTGTGACAATTCATCCTTGACTTGGTGGATGAGGTCAGTCAAATCCAAGCGGTGAAATGCTGATAGTGCTCCCGACGTTCTACAATTAAGTAATGATGAATAATGAAAGTAGTTATATTCTCAATCTCAAGGAATAATATCAAAAATGAGTCCAGAAATGGAAGTTGTACTCTTGATGGCGCGCCTCAGAAGATCGGGCAGTGACAGCAACACCAAAGTCTGTATAAGCACATTAGACCAGCAATCTTTACTGGGAGCCTATGTTTCGAGAAAGAGAGAAGTCTCAGACACCCCCAGTAGTTGATTGAATCGAATGGTGCTGTGTAGTCGCATTTATTTAGTTGACCAAATGAGTTTGCGTACTAAGCAAGGAAATCAACCCAACCAATGCAAACAGCGCTAGTGTTGTTGACAACTATGGACTTGAACCTACCACCCGCTAGCTAACTCCGGACAATAACCATCATCGTTAATTTACGCGCGAAGAACCTCTAGTCGTATCCAATCAAAAATATGCCTGAAGGTGGGCAATGTTGCAATCCTTCGATATTTCACCAAGACCTTGTTTTGACTGATCATTCTCGAGCAGGCGGGAAACCAAAGAGCAAGAAAAAGGGCAAGGCTGTCACGAAGGCCGGACCACCCGATGATAAGGATTCCAAGTCATCCGGAAAGCCAACAGATGATACAACCGTGGAATCCGGAGTAAGTGACACTCACGGGGCTCAATCGCGTTCCATACTAAATAACTAACCACAGGCCGCTCAGACAAATCCGGACGAGACGAAAGCGCCCGAGTCCTCGGACAACACAGCAGAGAAACATGGACAGAACAACATAGACGGCGGTTCACCGGACAAGCATGGCGATGAGGAAAAAGCGCCCACGCACCCTGATGGCACCGCGCTCGTGAACGACGGGGCCGAGGCGTCCTCCCCCGATAATCTCCAATCCCAAGAAAAGTTTGACGCGCTCGTCCGAGACCGAGATTCTCTCCGCGCCGAGGTCACAGATATGCGCAAATCGCTGGAGGAAATACAATCGAAGCACCGTGCGGACATGGAAGCCCTGCAGCACAAGCTGGATGACACCGAAAGCAAGAAAGAGCAAGCAGAGACACAGTTCCAGAAGCTTTTGGAGAGGGTGAATGTCATCAAGTCACAACTAGGTGAAAGGCTCAAAGAGGATGCTGTTCGTGCTGCATTGATCCGACGATCCAGAATCTCAGCTGATTATTGTACAGGAGGAGCTTGCTCAAGCGCGGTCGAAAATCGAGGAGCTAGAAGAACAGAACGTGGCCCTCAACGAAGAGCTACAGGGTAGTAGATCCGAGATGGAAGGGATGTCTAACGAAAATGAAGAGCAGTCAAAGGAGCTTGCTACCTTACGAGATCGGACGAATTTGTCGCAGCAGAATTGGCTAAAGGAAAAGGAAGAGCTCCTCGAGCAGCAATCATACCTCCAGTCAGAATTCGAGCAGGCGAAGGAAGCCATGCACAATTGGGAGATCCTTGCAATGGAAGAGCGGTCTATCAGAGAGAACCTCGGCGAGAAGGTCATAGATCTGGAGGAACAGCTCGGCAGTCTTAAAGATGCTTACGAAAAAGCTTCCGCCGAACGCGATTCAGAGCTGGCCACTGTGGATGGACTGCAACGCGCTCTACAGGAGATACAAACAGGTAAATTAGCCTACCTCACTGTGTCCTGGGATTCATCAAAGCTGACTGGACCTAGAACGGAAACGAGAACTCCGTGAGCTTGTGGAGAGTTCTGATGCCCAGCTTGAGGAACTTAAACGGTCGTTGAATGGTGCGGAAGCAAAGGCATCACAGGCCGATAAAGATCTCGCGAACGCCCAAAGTGAGCTAGACAGAGTTCGACCGTTTGAGAAAGAAGTTAGGGAGAAGAATCTCTTAATAGGGAAGCTTAGACATGAGGCAGTGACCTTGAACGATCATCTGACAAAGGCCCTGCGGTTCCTCAAAAAAGGGAAACCAGAGGACAATGTTGACAGGTATGTAGAATCTTGGGCATACTTCCGCTCCTGTGTTCATTACCGGCACTTCTACCTCTTCCATCTCGTCTTATGGCTAACCATATACACAGGCATATTGTCACAAACCATCTACTGCATTTCCTTGCCCTTGATCGGTCCGATCCCAAAAAATTCCAGATCCTCCAACTTATTGCAGCGCTTTTAGGATGGAATGATGGTTAGTGATATGTACCTTGCCTATTTTCACAGTACCGGACACTGACAACATACAACAGAGCAACGTGAACAGGCAGGATTGGCACGCCCAGGAACGTCGAGTTCTTCCGGCAAACTGCGTCTCCCAGGATCAGTTCATCGTACCCCTAGCACGTCCACCCTGGCCACGGAGTTCATGGACAACGGGAACACGAGTAAAGAATCACTGGCGGAGTTATGGTCCAATTTCCTCGAACAGGAGTCACAAGCCGCACATGAGGATCCATCATCAAAGCAATAACCACAGACTAGCGATATATAGGCGATCGTTACGTTGCGTCGTTCATTCATTCATCCTGTCTGCGATTTTACCGAGCAGATCATTTTAGAAGCCGCATGATAAGCAGGTCCTTATCAACAACTATAATCCATCCATCTAAATAGAAAGACCCTGCGGGTGTCTTCTTGCATCTGATTCTTTCCCTCATGCAATAGACTACAAGTACTCCTCAGACAGTATAAGGAACCAGGTGGGTCCGATCTTATCCATACGGTTGATACCTTCAATCCATGGAGTATCACATGTATGATCTTCCCTTTTTTCAGTCACAATGGACATTATGGTATTCCGAAACCACGCAAGCGACAGTATATAGATATCTCAGAGTTTAGTGGGATTCCTCGTCACATTTGAATAATATATTCCCCGAACAGACGAGAATTAGGCAGATTAAGTACATGAAAAAAAGTCACACTCGGATTCTGCCGCTAGTTTCGCTTTGGATTGTGTGATAAGGATATATCATGTCGAGGCGAGGCAAGCCCAAATCATTCCCGAACTAGGAGAGAATAAGATGAAATCAAACGAGGACCAAAAAAAAAAGACTAGAACGAAAAGACACCAGAAGTTAAAAGGATATATGTAAGAACGTGCTGGTATGAACTTGGTGGTAAAGAGGCAATAAAAAAAAAGGAAAAATAATGGGTCTCCAAGGCTATTTTTCACTGGCTTCTCCATGAAGAAACAGCCTGTACCTAACGCTCGCTTCGCTCGGTACTGCAACGCATTCTCCGCAGCTCATTTGCTTTTTTTGTTGTGGTCTAATAGCCATTCATAGTCATCCGTTGCGAGTTGCGGCTGAGCTCCCGGTCAGCAGAGGGGCTGATGGGACGGCTTCCAGCACTGTGGCCGCCAGCGGCACTGCTCTCCTTCAGAGCCAGCAGCTGCTTAGCACGGAACGTCTCGTAATGGATCTGGCTAGTGGTTTCGATGAGATCCTGGAGGTGAGTGCGGGTGAGGAAGTTCCTCAGGTAGACGAATTCGCAATGATTCTCATCCTCGACGTTGATCACACCCCAACGGTTTTGGCGACCGCGAACCTGCTGGCCGTTGACAACTATGGTTTTCTCGCTACCCACCACGGCGAAGGGGATGATGTCCTGGAAGAAGTTAGAAGCGGGCCACGGCGAGAATAGACGTAAACGGTACCTTGATCTGGACGTTGACTGCACGCTCCTCATCGTCGAGCTCCTCATTGTCGTAGGGGTACATCTTCAGGTTGTGGAAGGAGAATTCCTCCTTGATTCTTTCCTTGAATGCCTGGCGCTCCTCGAAAGTAAGCGAGTCGGCCTTGGCGATCACCGGGACGACGTTGACGACGTCAGACAGTTTCTTGAGGACGACGATATCGATCGGCTTGAGACTAAGGTATCAAAACACAGTCAGCACTTCTCTGTATGACACAATGTTGACATCCATCGACTTACGCATGGCCTGAGGGTTGAATGAAGAACAAGCAGCAATGGATGCGGGTATCTTGGATATAGCGATCGCGCTGAGCCGTAAGCTCCTTCCGAAGGTAGGCGGAGTGTTGGTCCTTGATATATTTCACGATTGGGTCCCAGCTGAAAACCGATGGTTAGCCTGGGCGATATAGGTCTTGGTGGTGCTCGTGGTGTTGTTCATTACCATCTGTCATTGTTGACCTGATCACCGTACCCCGGAGTGTCGACGATGTTCAGTCTGAGGCGGACACCGTTCTCCTCGATGACTGTATAATCTAGTCAGTCAAGCTCGGTAGCAGGGGCCACAACAGTCGCGTACTATGGGAAACGGTTTGGATTTCGGTGGTCGAGCGAACGGGATCATTGGGGGTGAGGCGGCCCTTGGAGTCGATCAAATGCGAGGCGAAGATGGTGTTGATCAGAGTCGATTTTCCCAGACCGGTTTGTCCTAGATGCGTCTGTGTCAATGATGCTGGCCCATGCAACCCGATGATCATGGGTCAACTTACCAACGCACATGACGTTGAACTGGAAGCCACGCTTGAGGAGTTTCCGCTCGATCTGAGAGGTGATGCTATCGAAACCGACATGGCTATGGGGAAAAACCGGGGCGGCGGTGGCCGAAGTCGAGCTCGCTGCAGCAGCCATCGTGGAGCACAAGAAGCAATGCCTTGATGGGGTTTGTTTAGATCTGTCGGAAGTGGAGTGGTGGGAACGATGGACTGATGATGGCGGACAGTGGACAGTAGACAAGGACGGGGAATCGAAGAGGAGAGATAGATACGAGACAGGCTACCGAGACGGCGTTAGGGTTTGAAATGGAGACCGGCTGTCTATGTCTACCCCAGGGAAGTTCGAATTGTCTAAAAGAAGAGGAGAGATTGCAGTTCATCGATCGCTCATCTGGACCCCTTTAATGGAGGCTGTCGCGACTCAGGGGGACGCTAACCGATTAGGGAGTAGCGCCATCTCTCCAGACCCAAATAGCAGCAAAACCGCAGATTCGTTGCAAAAAGCTTCATTATGACCATTTCGACCATTCGACCATAACCCGTCTGTCTTTGATCTCCACATCCCGAAAAACCATTGTCACGGCCCTGCGACCGATCTCCTTCGCGCCCTCTCCCAATGGCTTTGCGTCTTTTCCGCAGTTCGGCCTCCATCCCAGGCCAATGGTCGCAACTTCTCCAGAATGCCTCGATCGCCCCACACGCCTTTTTACGCCCTGCGATCTCATTACAAATCCCGGGGATCCTGAGCGACATTTGGGAATCGGTTTTGCGGGCTGTCCCCAAGAAGAAGACTTCCCACATGAAGAAACGTCACAGGCAGATGGCCGGAAAAGCCTTGAAGGATGTCAAGAACCTCAACACTTGCTCCGGATGTGGCCAGATCAAGCGTGCTCACACGTTATGTCCCCATTGCGTTGAAAGTATGCAAAAACTATGGCATGGATTCCCTGGTGGTCCCGTTTTGTCCACTAACAATCATTTCCTTGACAGGTATCAAGAAACAGTGGGGGAAGACTCAAACAGCCTAAAGGGAGAAGAAAAGACTCTACTTCTGAGTAGAACCTCGGGCATATCAACGAAACGAAAGCAACAGAGAGAGGGATCAACACCGCAGGAAAAAAGGTCGCTGGCTCGGTTTTGGCTCAGAGTTGTATCTTTCACTGGGTTGTAAGTGTAGAATATATATGGAGCATGAACTTGGGCGTTTGGTTCTGGCGGGAAGCTTTTGTGCCTGGAAATTTGTATTGGAACCTTTGGTTTCCAGGTTAAATGATAGAATAAAATGAGGCCATGTATACTACTATGTCATCTGGGAGTATTGTTCAATATTTGGTGCTTTTGCTGCTAGACGCACGGAGCTTTCGCATTGGGTTGGATTGGCTGCCCTTCGGCCCCATATATGATCTCACTCTCCAATTCGTCCCGCCATCTACGCCATTTCTCCCCCTCCTCCGCGGCGGAACAACATCACCAAAAACCACCGGGTTGGGACGCAGCCAGCTATCGAAAGCATACGCTACAGAGATGGTAAGATGCGGGGTTTTTGGATGTTATAAATTGTCTATTGGTAGGAGACTAATTGGGAAATTCAATGGGTTCTAGTCGAAACAATATCTCTCTTGTGGCTCTTCGGACGATGGTACGTGCTGGTCGCCCGGCTGCCTTCCAGTCGAATTCTCCTTCCGATCTACCTGAGTGGCACTGACACCTTTTGCAGCCCATCCGTCTGATATTTTTTCGCTTGCCGTCACCGAAAATCAAATCCTGTCTGTCTCGGGAGCCTCCGCGATCAAGGTGCACTCAACCGCAAACCCCGATTTCCCACTGGTGCAGTCCATAGATGGAGCACACAAAGCCGGGTGCCATCATGTTGTGACGGACCGGAAAGGGTCGAGGGCCGTGAGTGTTGGCTTCGGGGGAGAGATTCTGGTGTGGTCTTGCCAGGAAGGAACCTGGTCCAAGGATGACAACGTCCCAGGTAACACCTGCCTTACAATTCAACAAAGGCAAAGGTTTTCTGACTCTTTGTTTCTTAGCCGTCGATGGGAGAGGGCCATCCGATACTTGGGCGGTTGCCTTGTCAGAAGACGGCCAATTTCTTGCTGGAGTCAGCCAAGACGGGCACATTAGGGTATGGGATTTAAATAGCCATGCTGAGCAGATCCGTGACTACGAAACCAAAGGGAGCTTTGGAACTTGTATAGATTTGGTAAGCAGCTCCAAACCCCTCGACTCTCAATCGACCTACTAAGGGCCTCTAGTCTTTGGACGGCCGCTTTATTGCCAGCGGGCACGAGAATGGTAGTGTGCACATTTTCAGCACCGAATCTGGTCGCATGCCATTCAGTCTATCAGGTACATTTCCCTTCCCTCTCTCTTCAACGATGGGTGAAGGTGTGTCTGACACTAAATATAGGCCTGGTGAAACCCGTGCGAGCGGTTACGTTCTCTCCTGGAGGGAAATTCCTCGCTGCTGCGGGTGATTCCAAAGTCATCATACTGTACGACACTTCTTCTGGCGAGCAGGTTGCAAGCCTTACGGGCCATTCTGCTTGGATCCTGTCTCTGTCTTGGAGCTATACTGGAGAGTATCTCCTAAGCGGGTGAGTTTCTTGCTTAAATCCTACTGCCCCTTCCACATGGTCTCCCGGGGCCGATGCCTTGACAAAACTGACAACCTGGAAGTTCTTTTGATGGAAAAGTCAAAGTGTGGTCAATTGACACCAAAACTTGTGTTGCAACCCACTCCGAGACCGAGAAAGCCGTATGGAGTGTCAAATGGTTACCGAAAGTCGGGAGATCAGAAGGATTTGCCACGGGCGGAGCAAGCCGTAGCATATCGTTCTATCGGGAGGCCACCGGTGGCTGAGTTGGCGATCAAGGTCTTGCCTTTGAAGGTGTAATGAATTATAGAAAATAATCCACTAGACTATCGATTCAGACATAAACGAGTCTACATGTCTGTGCTACTATGAAACGTGCCTTTGGGTAATGTGAGTCTTCTGTCGTACCTGCATATCGTGATTATTCCTATTTCAATGCCTCAACGAACAATTTGCGGACTCTCTTGAGAAATGCACCAAAATCGCGATCCTCGTTCACAAGGTCGAGTTCCCGATTTAACGCGTCCCGGTCGACCTTCGGCCGTGTATGAAACACCTCATAGTCGCGGTTGGCAGTCCCAAGCTCGAACCAGGCCTCGGCTTCCCAATCCTTTTCCAGTAGGTGGGTATATACAAACTTCAAGCGATCTTCTCTCCCAGCACCTTCTATGCGCATGCATAAATAGTCCTGCCAAAAGTCAAGCTCTGGTACGTTCAAACGAGACTGCGCATCTAGGTAACGGGAATGAGCCTTCTGCGCTTCTGTCTTTTGGGCGATAGCTTTCTGGGTTTCGTCGATTTGCTGCTTGAGGCGATCGCGTTTTGCAAGGCGAGCAGCACGCTCCAGTTCCACGGACGAAATCGCGGCATGCATTTCAGCGGCTTCGGCGGCTTCCTTCTGCAATGTTTGTTCGTGGGTCTGCGCCTTGAGATTGAGAATTTCAATATCCCTTTGCCGCATGCGTTCATCCTCTGTCATACCAATTAGCCGTGGCCCTTTTGATAATCGTATGGGGGTGTCCTATCGCGTACCCTGCATCTCCACCAATCCTATCTTGAACTGGTTTCTCTCCTCCAGCACCTGCTTTCTCCCCCGCTCGATAAATGCATCAAATCGCGCGGTGAATTGCGCCATGCGGCTGCGCAAGTCCTCAAATCCGAAATTGATACTGGGGAGCGAATCAGCCATGGAGGGGGCGTCGGCTGAAGTCAGTGGTGGTCGCATGCCACTTGTTGAAAGTGAGGGTTCGAAGGCACTCATGGTGAAAGAGGCCCTGTTGTTGTTTAATGGGAAAGTCTTAAGTTGTTCAAATGTTGCGCGTCCTTTTGTATATTAGAAGGAAGAATTTCATGGGTCTAAGGCTCGAATTGAATCGCGAAAGTCTGTACGTTGTTGAAGTTGTTGTTGCAGTTCGTACCTCAAAACCAACCTTTGTTGCGCCGCAACCCGGAGGTGACTAAAAGTCAAGTCTTGGCATCTGTTCTTCAAAAGTGCTTTTCTCCGGCGGAACTATACATCAACGCATCTTGAAATCAAAATTCTTGCGCCTACATATGTATCGTCATATAGGGCTTTCAAAAAGCACATGGATTTTCAGGGAGACGAATTGATTCTCTACTGCGCTTATCGGTTTTGTCTTATAACTGAGTTGCTTCGATTTGACCGGAAGCACACTAAGCACTTATCGCTCTCGACATGCTAAAAAGGAAGGGCTTAGTCGATCATTTCACAAGGCGTAAAGGCAGCCCCAATGGGTGAATATCTTTCAAATTCTCTGCAGTATGGGCACTTGGGAAGAGTCATCTATCAACCAGAGAGTCGGACATGGACTTTTTCTCGAGTCCTGGGTCACCGTATGTTTTTGCCCGCAAAGGCGCGGGGGCTCAATCGAAAAGAAAGTGTGTACTGACGACAATGATCATTTTCTCTAGGGCCTTCAATCTACTACTCTGGGAACACGAATACCACTGTGAAGTCGCCTCTTACCGCTCCCCAATCTTCACTGATCGAGAACAAAAATATACTACCGAAAGTATATCCCGAACTTTCCGCCTGTTGGCCGTTGGCTAGTAACGAGTCCCTCTCTCATATCATCACATCTACGAGTGAGATTTGTGATCCTTTGGCTTCCTCACTTCTCGACTTCGGATATGCAGTGGATCTCGACAATGATGATTCGGGAAATCGAGTTGTTCCTATTGCCGTTTTGGCGTCCGGCGAATGCGGCAATGCCATTTCTTTCCGGAGAATGGACGACTGTACCACGCAGTTGAGCTTAGACAAGACGACTTCGCTGCGGGTTCCAACAATTGGCCAGGCGGATACTATCGAATGGTTAGCAGGGGGCGCGCCTGTTCGCCAGGTCCGTTATGCACGTCCGGTGGAAGAAAAGGCTACTTGGGTGGCAGCCCGTTTCCACCAGTCAACCGTGGTATTTCGACCAATCTATCACAGAAAACCGACACCCGTGCGCCTCTCCAATGGCCAAATGCACATGAGGCGCGCCCAGAATTCCCGCCTCGAAGCGAATCCGTTGGTAGAGATATCAAATTTACAGACCGGAGGGTTTGCTCATGCAGATGTCGCCTTCAATCCATGGTACCAAAAACAGCTTGCCATTGTCGACCAGAGAGGAAACTGGAGTCTTTGGGAAATAACGGGACGTCATAGACAAAACAGAAATAATTGGACTGCGGCATGCGTTAGATCCGGCTCATTGCCGTCGGTTGATCCTGAGGTTGGTCATGATATGATCAATCACGCTCGTTACGACGGCTGGGCAGTCATTGAATGGGTTGGAGACTTCAACGCTTTTATAGTTTCTGACCGACGCTGTCCCATGCTGTACAGGGTGGAGGATGGGCAGACATGCGCATATCCAATAGAACTGGGTAAAAAACGAAAATCCGAGTGGATCTTGGATGTCAAACGAAGTACTTCCAACGTGTCACACGCCTTCATTCTCACCACGTCTCGGATTTTTTGGCTGGAGATCCCAGGCCCATCCTCAGCAAAAGGTGAAGAACGATCTTCTCTCTATCCCCTGCTTTCTTGGCAGCACTATCGAGACCCAGAGGACATAACATTACAATTGTCGCCTCTATCTTTCCAAGAAGGTATGGAGTTGACTATCTAAAACTGTAATCAGTTCCCCAGATTGACAAGGTGTTGCCCAGACTTTTATATTGTATTGTACTCCCGCCTCAGTCATCTTGCACTGGTGTTTGATATCTCTGCTCGAGAACAAACCAACACGGCAAGCCTTCCGGACCCCTTCGTCATTGAAATTCCATTGGCGTCCGATGATGCTCGGGAGGCTCAAGTCCCTTCCGATTTCACGCAGTTTGTGTCACTTGCCTTCAGGGAAATTGTTCATTCCCCGTCATCTGTGAGCAAGGAGAATTATGATCCTACTTTGAGACTCGTGAAACTTTTCACCTTAGATTCTCGCCTTTCTGTCTGTGAATCGTTATACATTGCATCACCAATTAAAAGTGCGGCGAGCGAGCTGGAACCTGGAAAGGATGCTATCTATGTGAAAAAGAGATATACCGGACTTCACACACCTCAAGGAACTAGTTCCCGAGACGATTTTATAGTCGACGACGGGGACGAATCCGCCCTTGGCCCCGGTTCGTTGGTGGCACCGGACTCCGGGATATCTCTTCTCGCCCCTCTTGCAATCCCTCGATGGGCCATTGATTATACACAGGTTTATGCAATTGCTGCAGGGAAATCAACTAGGGTGCCGGAAGAATTCGGAAATGAACTTTTTGAAAGGGGCTTTCAAGATTCTCTCAAAATCTTGAGGAATGAAACGCAGAATCAGTCTTTTACTCATCATTCTACAAGTTCCACATTGTACAAATGCCCCCCATTTTCGTCAAGGAATCATCTACTAACATATCGCAGGTTTGAGATCCTTGGAAGTGGCTCGTTGTTGGATGATATCGATCAAAACGAACGGGGCCTTGAGGGTTTGCTTTCAGAACTCGAATGCGACTCTCCTGGTAGCCAATGCCGACTAGTTTCTCAACCACAAGCTGTAACCGGCTTTCAGTCCAATGCTAAACAGCCACTCAATTCTGTGCAGTGGAACTTGATAAAAACCTACGACTGCTTGGTGAACACTTGGCTAAGTGCCTTGCCCCACGACATACCAGGCAGAACTAGAATCATGAAAGAAAAAACAATTCGACGCATTGCAGGTGATCTCGCTCTAACACGAGTAATCATGGCGCGTGGATTAGACTATCATTTGGATGAGTCCGACCCAGGGCGCGCATCGAACCAAAGAGGCGATTCTTTGGTATTTGATGGCACCGTAGGGAATCCAAGCAGTGAACCTATCAGTGGCACTGCGCCACAAAGCAGCATCAGAACGGAATTGGATGGGACGACAACTCATGAGACCAATGGTATCTATACCAGCTTATCGTCTCATACAAATTCCATCGACAAACGAACACCCCCTCAAAGTGTGGCGAGCATACTCGGCCACTGGCCCACCGGCGCGGACCCAGCTTCTTATGACTGGCAGCAGATAGCATCAACGCTGGACGTCGAAGAGCCGCACCGGGCTGCCAGATCAACGACCCCAAAAGCGACGCCGCGGCCGAAGAAGCTTCAAGGACAAGGGGTTAATTTGGACTCGCCCGCAACAAACGAGCCTCCGGCTACGTTTACACCTCGGGTTTGGGGTAGTCAGACCCAAGCAGGCGAGAGCTCCAGGGCCATTCAGAGTAGTCAAGTCATGGAGGAAGATCTCCCAATGACTCAAATGGAACGCGGCATATTTGGGGGTCGCGACGCCGAAAGGAGGGGTGCTGCGAAGGCGCGCAAGAAAAAGAGAGCCGCTGGATTCTAGGGTTGGCTCAAAGGGGGACATGGATGATGTGATTGATGTATTCTAAGACATAATAAGACTGCGCATCACCCACTCACTATTCACGTTATTCTTCGCTCTGATTGATAAGCACAAGCGACAAGGAATGTCAAGACAAGGATAAGATTTCAATCAATAGACATAATAAAACGAAAAACAATGCGTGATTTACGCGTGGTATATAATCCCCTAGCAGGGGTGAGAGATAAATGCGTAGTTTCTAAAGGTATAAGTAAAAGTAACGGCCCGAGAAGGCCCATGATTATTACATTAGATTACATTAGTTAGTTCCCCCCACTCCCCCCCCATCAACCATATCAATCAGCACACCTACCTCCCCGCTCCCCTCCGCTCCCCCTCCAAATACCCCCTCCGTTACTTACCCTCTTGCGCCCACAACCACCCCATCTCTCACAATGTCCGACCACACATACAAATTCAACATCTCCATGAGCTGCGGCGGCTGCTCCGGCGCCGTGGAGCGAGTTCTCAAGAAGTTGGAAGGTGCGTTGCTGTCTAGTCGTTATCCTGGACTCATTCACACCACCGGGCGGTCAGCGGTCAGCTCACTGATAATGTCTCCCGGCAGGTGTCAAATCCCTCGACGTCAATCTAGATTCCCAAACCGCCAACGTCGTGACCGAACCTTCCGTTTCCTACGACACCGTCCTGGCTACGATCAAGAAGACCGGAAAGACTGTCAACAGCGGGGAGGCAGATGGTGAATCCAAGGATGTATAGGTAGATGGATGGATATGCATGCGCCCATAACAACAGTCTACGACCACTGCGCTCGCGAGTCGCTTTGATTCTCTAGAGACGGTAGCGGGGATACTACTACCGCATGTTGTGGCCCGCGCGGGGAGTCGCAGCTTGAGATTTTGGGCTGGGCGTACTATATACGGAGGGGTCTGGTTGGCATGGACGGATGGTGACCCAGGCGGAGGAGCTTGGTGAAGGATCGGCTTGTTCTAGTTGGGAGATGTGTATGCTCCCTGGGACGACATCTCTTGTTTATATGTTCTCTATCTTTTTTTTGGTCTTATGTTTGCAAACCCTAGCGGTTGAACCGACTTGTCTCACTGCATATAGTGCATGCACCTGCCCATATGCCGGCTGGAACTGGAGGGTCTTGATTATACACCATAGCTAGTTCATATTCTCTACGCCGAATTGCATTGTACTAGGGCGTTGTCGAAAGCGTTGGTGTGCGTTATGATCAATATAGGTTAACAAATGACGTTGCATAGACTATTGTCATCGAACTACGTATTGACGAGCCTTGCATGCAACACTATATATGCATAGAATGTTGGGTCATTATAATATGTCAGCCAAACAATGTATATTTTGGCGAGGGACATGCTGAAGTGGGGATGCAATAAGTTTGTGTTTCTCACTTCTATGTATGTGCATGAGATACGTCCCCTTCACGATCTGTATCGTTACGACGACATTAAAGCTGAGCTCATCATCCCCTTAGCATACCATGCTCAAGGCCATTCAAATGTAGCTAATCGACAATGACAATCGACGGGTCTCGGACCAAAAGTCTCCGTGTAGGATGCTCGCTTGCCCTTGAGTAAAAATGCGGAAGTTGATCTCTTCCAGACGGCGGTTGCGGTTGCTCGTGAGTTGGCCTATAATCCATCAGCAGAGATCCGGGGCTATATACCGTTTAACAAGGGTTGGGGGGCGGGAGGGATGTGGCCGAAGGACTAAAACTAATTGAGGTAATGACCATACCGTACAGGTTGAAGAGGAGGCCCGCCTCTTCCCTCCTGGTAGTGACCTGCAGGAGACGCCTCGAAAGACCTGAGACCACGATTATTTGCATCTCGTTCATGTACAACGGTATATGCATGACCAGCATGCCTAAAGTGGGGATCCGAATAGGTCCGCTCTTGAGGCGGCCTTGTTGGTGCTGTATTATCCGGGGGGATATTTATTTGAGGTTCTTCCACAACTTGGACCTGAACCGGTTGATGATGGATTTCAGTGTTGTTAAGCGGAAAACGATGCTGGGGGATGTATCTAGATGAGGCCGAGTCTCGCAGGTCAACAGAGCGGACGAAATCGTCGGCGTAGTGTCTTCTTCTTTGATGGGCTTCAGGCGACATAGAGGCAGGAACGTTGGCCCTGATGTGCTGAGCCCGTTCAAATGGTTGTGGCTTTTCAGGTGCTTCGACGGCGCCGACTTCATAACTAAGATCACTTCGGTAAAATGTGTGTTTCCCAGAGTTCGGAGACCGAATAGAAATGTATCTATCGCGGGCATTATTTGCAGGAACAGCATGTCTAGCTTCAGGCAAGACGCGGGGAGGTTCTGGAATTCTGTGATAGGGATGAAGATCAGGGCGCCATTCTTGTGTGATCGACTGGCCCCCAACATCTTCCCGTTGGGTCCGAGGTAATACGACTTCCCGTTGTGCATAAGAGTCTTGAAGGAAATGTTCTCGGCCACTTTCTAAAGATTGCCCCATGACGTAGGATGGTGGCGCCCGAGGAACGCGCCTCTCATGGTGGATAGGGTCATCTCGGTAAGAGACCTGGCCCCGAGGGGCATAGGACGGCGGGACATGATGCTCTCCAGCGCGGGTAGTCACAACAGGAAGAGTATCAACATCCTGTCGGCCGCTTTTGTCGAGGTATAAAGGCTCACAATAAGCCACACGCCTACGCTTAGGGGCATGATCCTGGATATAGTACTCCATGGGCTGACGTGGCTTGTCATGAATAACCCAGTGCGGCGTTTCTGAGCGGATAGAGAATTCTCCAGACATCTTTCGGGTCAGTTGTTCTATTTGGCCACTCTGTGCGCGCTGATGCTCCGCAGAATAGGGGGGTTCGATAGATGGTAATACATGATCCTGGGGGTCCATATTTGTCCTGGTGCGTAGGAGACCTGGGGCTCTTGCATTATGACCGATGAAATCACCACGTTCCTGAAGCTTTCTTGGGCCGCTAACAAACACAGGGGCATCCGAAGCACCACCTTGGTGGATAGTATATTTCTCTGGTCGTGATGCAAGGGACTTATCTTTGGTAGTGATGCTGGCGGCTGGGACCACCTCCCTCATTTGCCTGTACGGCTCAACCAATGGATATTGTTGATCGGCCCGAGTCAATGTGGGCGGAATCTCATACCTCCCCTTGTCATCCGTGGGCTTTGGTTTTGGCCAGAATGGCTGGTAGGAGGACACTCCCCGGGCATTTACACAACGTTCGACGGGTGGACTGGGCACGGAGCTTCCGAGACCGGAATTGGAAATCCTGGAGTGAGGCATAGGATGCGCAATGGACACATGATGGGGTTGTGCAGTCCGGCCTGAAGAACAGTTTGACTCAAGATTGATATTACCGCGTGAATGTTCCTGCACGGGGTCCAAGGGTCTGCGGGGGCCTGTCTGGTCATTTCCCATTCTGCGCTGGCTGGCCTCGTTGGCCATACCCCTATATCGATTGATGGCACGATCCCAGGCTTGGTATCTGCTGAAGCCTCGGCGATCAATCTTGTCCTTCCTGGAAAATTCTGGAACAAATCGATAACCCGGTGGTGGCTCATCCTCCTGGAGATCCAGCTGGGATTCCTGAGTGTGGGTGGCATAATTAACAGATTTTGTTCGGAGCTCCTCGGCTCGCGGGTGGCTCGAAACAACTTCCACACTATAATCTCGGTCATCAGACCGGAAGGCTTCCTCTGCCTCACTCTCTTCGTCATCGGATATGACAATAACCTCACGAAAAACATCTTCGAGAACTGTCTTCCCGTTTTCATCGTCTCCCCTCCACTCTACTAATTTGGCCAGGGTGGATTCTTCGACGAGGCTTCTCGCTTCATGGAACGATGTGGTCTTCAAAAGACGATCGTAATCCGTGTAGATATGTCGGATATGTGCTACGACCGCTAATTGCGCACGACGGGCCAAGGGCAATTCCACGGCCGTGCCAACTTTGCGTTGACCCTAGTCAAACGTACTTGAGTTCGGTTCCCAGGTTTTTCGCTAATTCACGTACCTTTTGAAATGCTGTTTTAATTATCTGATTCAAGTCATGATCCGGTATGTTGGGAAAAAGATCCCTTAACACATCCGTCGCTTCGCTGTCAATGGTCATCTGCGAAACCCCAGAAAGATTTCGGGTATGGCGTTTCACATCACCGAACCCTCGAAACGGAATCGCTTTCCCCATCGATGTGAGGTATAGACCCAAATCCATACAGACGGAGGCTACAACAGCGCTAGGGAAATGATACCCTATCCTATGCACATGCTGAGAAAGATTGTGTGTGTTCATGTGCGGGGTCGTCTTGTGAAGGAGAGAAAATCATGTATATCAGTGATACGATATTTTGAGACGGTGGCCGGTAAGGTCAAACGAGAACATAGCTAAGGATTAGCCTACCGTAACCGCAAAAACCTTCAATCCATCCTTCCGGCAAGACTCCTTGCAGGCCGTTGTAAGCTGGGGATTGCCTGCCGGGATAAATGTGTATCCAGGTGGTGCATTTGCTTCAAACGAAATCTACCGTCACTGTTAATGCAGTCCATATGTCGATAGAGTCCTAAAAGACATACAACACTCCGAAGCTTCTTTTTCTCCTGGGTCACAGACTCCAAAACAACCTTATGTTTCCCAGTGTTTCTTCGAGCCGCTCGACTATGAGCCCGACTGCCAAAGGCCGAGACGGGCCTTCGAGATACCCTAGCCATAATCCTGAGATAGTTGCACCCCTTTAGGTCACACTGTCGAGACAGCGACTGCTCATTTTCGAGAAAACAATTCGCAGCAGAACACTAGCCCTCCCGAGCAAAAAATCTATGCCGATAATGACGAAGGGGGAGGGGAACAAAGTGAAGGCGAATCAATGATATACCATGATTCTAAGGCGGTCAGTTCGCATGCAGCTTCTACACAGAGGACGCATAAACTTGTTAGTCGAAAGCAGAGTTCAGACGATAAACGACAAGGCAAGATAATATCAGCCGACTTTGGACCCAGCAGCTCCCGTTGAGAATTTAGTGGCCGGACTATTTTGTCGGCATCCAGAGAACAAATCAATAAGATGGATCCGCAAAGGCAAGCAGCTTCTAGATGGCGAATCGATTAGAGCTTGAAAGAGAACCAGAGCTGTGTTGATGGGAAAGATGGGAGGGCACCAAAGGCGGGTTGACCATTTGCGGCCTAACGCATGGGCTACGGAGGTTAATTTACTCCTCGTGGGAGGAGTTAAGGTGGAGTCGAATTGTAAGGAAGGAAGGAAGTGATGAGGAGTGTGGAGCTGACTCAGATGGTCCGCCAAGCCCGAGATATCTTCGAGATAACTTCGGGAGCGAAGAGGACTCTGTAAAGTGTATGCGACTGTTTACTACTGCCCATTCTTCTACCCATCATTAGCCTACTTCACTATCTTGGTGCTATCCCCAATGATTGCCTTGCTATAGACTAACTATCCAGTTCCAAATAGCGCTCAACTAGAAACTGAACTCACCCTCTTTTCGAAAGCACATGGGTTGATCGCCCAAGTGGTCTTTAACCTCCATACGCAAGATGAGTGCCGTCTCTCAAGTCAAGTCGCTGGCCCCGCAACAAGTCATCCACGCCTACCGTCATCTCTACCGACAAGGACTAAAAGCAATCAATTATTCAACTCCTTCGCGACATGTCCTTCTTCGAAACTTGCGCAAGTCCTTTCGCACTTCTTATCGGCAGGATTATGACCCTCAAAAAATAGAGAACACCGTGCGCTTTCTTCAACGAGCATCGGACGTGGCGGGCATGGAGCATAAGATTGTGAAGAACTTGATGATTGTTCGATATTGGGACCAGCCTCTATTGAGGAAAGACCTGCGACTGTATGTTCCCCAGCTACCAGGAAAGCATGCTACTGGAGCCAAACTGACTTTTTGCATTAGTCTGAAGGGTCTAGGAGTTGATCAACGATCACCCTCTCTTCGCAGAGATATTATTCGGCAATTCAATTCGACGCTGGTTTTTCTCAATGAGAGTCTAGGGACATGTTTAAAATGAAACAAGGGAGAAGAATGATGGAGATATGATGAACAGTAGCTGGGCTAGGTACACATACTCCAAGTAAACTTTGCTGGCAAAATTCTCCCAAACCACTTTTCTCAGGATTAGAGAAATAATGACAATGATAATAATAATAATAGAAAAAGGAAAAAAAAAGATGGAGTAACAGTCACAGTTGACAATCTATAATATGGTTGCTTGTTACATAGATGCATAACACCAGGTATATACTCCGTATAATCTAGTGACGGTGGACCATGCAAGGTGGATCTTATTGCAAAAATCAACAAATCTTCCTAATCTAAGACGATTAGTGCCATCTTTGCAGAAATTCCTGGATACCCCTATTCTAGAGAGCATCATCATGTGCTTGAACGAGCTTGACCATGAGATAGTCCTGCGAATAGAAAGCGACAGAGCAAGTACGCTGACAGCAACTAGATTTCCGTTTGAATACATATTTTCCATTCCCTAAAAGAAATCATTGATACCCAAGATGACACTCATAATTTTTCGCTAAGCTCTCAGCTGTCGAGGCCGCAATCGAAGCGCAAGTTCTCTCTGTCGATTTGGTCTCTCCTCTCTATCGTCACCAAAGTCTATATTTGGCCCATTGCGAGGCTCACAGGCATGGTAGCGTAGAAAAAGGTTCCAAGGTGCCTCGTCCTTGCGCACGAAACTGTAGAGAGGCGAGGCCCTGACTTCCAAGATACTAGATACTAGACTTGTCCAATTTAGCCTGGACGAGATGTCCATGTCGTGGTCCGAATAGCGATATAACCAACATCTTATCGAGTCCAACAGCGTAAACTTGGCTAGCATGTATGTAAAAACTCAGTAGAACTTGTGATATCATACCTGGAAAAGTGAGGTCTTTTCGAATTACTTCTGTTGTAAACGATCTCGAAATAACCTGCGCGATACATCCTAGCTTGCAAAAAAGCAGTTCCCCTTCGATAGCAACTGCACCAGTATACATAACGAGCATCATGTGCGGACGAATCGTTTCTGGGCTACGGTAGCCATATTGCCACTCGTAATCATCTCTGACGTCCCAAAATGGGATCTGGTTAGTCAAGGTATAACCCCCGAGTAGTCCCAATGGAATATCTGAGAATGAGTTGCCATCCCTTATTTGGTCCCACTTCGAGGTTCTAGCAAGAGATTCGGTGCCTTGAGAAGGTCCGAGACAGCTTTCTCGTACTTGACCCTCAGGAAGGCACGATTCGCCGCCGGCTAGTCGGAGAGGGGCTCCATCATGTAGGATAAAGGAGAAGCTGTGGAAGCCGAAGAAGGAAAGGGATTGAGGGCAGAGGTGAAGAGTGAAAGAGCGGGCCGTTCGGGTATATACGGTACAATGATATTCTACTCCGTATAGAGAGGAACTATGACAGCGGGAGCTAGTCCATTGCTGGGTTAGTAGCCCTGTGGACCTCAACCGCAGTTGAAACTCATACAGGTTTGAAAGAGCAAACAATGTCTTTTCTATACAACAGCTTCATGGATAGGGACTTGGCCTTTGCCGCTTCACCTTGGGTATTAATAGGCCAGTTATACTATTCTGTTGGATGAATGGAATCTTGTGTTTGAGGAAGGTCGAAGGTAGAGAGGATAGGGCTAGGATTTTGGAGAGTATGAGGCCCCCGATCTATGTAGAAATTCGTAGCCATCGAGACACTAGATCCGAGTGCTACAAAAATCAATTGAAAATCCATTTCCTCAAAAGGGTACTGCTCATGAAAGCCGCAGAAAGGTAACTATCTACATGGGTCTACGTATATCTTCACCTTTCCGGCCAGGACCCACTGTATCTACAGTTCGTGGAGTAATAGTACGATCCTAGTAGAAGAATATAGATTTATAGTAGAATAGCAAAAGTTCGGGTCAGTCACGGAAACCAATGTTTATGCGTTTCTTGCGAATATCGAGGCGGATTTTCGGGCCTGAGGATTTACGAGTACATTGACGAAAATTGGAAAGATCTGGATGTTCCTCATGGGTTTCAGGAGCATATCCATCGCTCTGCCTTTAAAAATAGTCTTCAGTCTTGGTGGGCTCGTGATGTTATCGTGCTTAGCAAACCTTGGAAAAGGTCTACGGATGTTTTATCCCTTCATGCTAGCTGTTACAGCTTTGGACCTTTGGATATCATGAGATGTATTCCTTGTTTTTCTTTTTCTTTCTCTTTTTTCTTCAAGGCATTGCCTGCTCCCACCTTTGGTCTGTGGAGTTGGGCTAGCAATTGAGTTGATTCCATTCTTCAGAAGAAAAAGAAAATATATGTAAATACATACTAGAATATGCGTCGCATACTGAGACCTTGCGACCGCAGTTGCACTTTGATTGGCCCACACCAGCAAGTCTACCTTCAGTCACCCAGTTTTGTATCCAATGTGGCAATAACTCTTGAAACGAGTTATCCACGCTGGCTTTGGTACTTAGTGCATAGTAGTATTACTGACAGATTTGTGGAAATCCATTGTTATGTTGAAGTCAAGGTTTCGAAAAGCGAGACCACATGTCGCGAGAGGGACATCGCCAGTAAAATCGGTTCGCTTGAGCAGTTGTCTTGCCTCAACTCCAGTTTCTCTGGCCCCTGACACGGCAATATATCGGAACTCTGTAAATAATGTGGAAACTACATGTATGGTTAATGTTCCGATTTACTTCAATGTCATCCATACATACATCTTGTGCACTCTCCCTTTGCCATCAATTGAGTCGTAAGCGCCATCTTCTGCTGCTCTGTTGGCCATGTCAGTAGGAAAGCGACTTTGATGGTTTTAATGCTGCTGCACGTGTTCTATCTCAAGTATCTGGAGAAATACTCACCATAGTATCATGCTTGTAAGTTTGCTGCCAGTAGGCACTTATCGAGAATAAGATGTAAGTGCCAGTTTGGCGAATTATGGCTAGCTGAACATATATCTTCTGGGATAAGTGAGATCCAAGATTATGGATATCAGGCCTTAACGGCATTTCAATAACACGGAGTATTTGAGTCCAACGAACGGGATATGTATTAATGTAGGATATGACTATCTACTTTCGATTGTCCCTCTTCCTAGTGAAAGTTCAACTATCTACTATTCGATTGTCCCCCCTTTCATTCTGCGACAATACAGCTTCCAGCTTTCTGGTCACGAGTCTGACATCACCGCAGATTCCACACTCACCAGTCGGCACCAGATGCGGCCCAGCCTGAGGACCATTCGCCAATACAAGGTGCTATGTCTTCATCCGCCACGGCAGAATTTTCGACCCCGATAACGGTGATTTCCGGGGGGCTTACGACCGGAGGTTCGGACTGCACTTGCGAGAAGGCCTCTAGCGGGAGTGAAGAGTCGGCAGCAACGGCAGTCTCATCGCCGACGGACGGTTCCAGCATTTCGGTGTGGTTATCGTGCCAGACCTCGCTCGCGGTGTCTGGAGGAGCTGTCCACTCATTATTGGGGCCCTCTAGGGGGTCTGTGTGTTCCTCAGGCGCGTTGATGTTTTCTGGGACGTTGCTGATGACATCGCTATTGTTGCTGTCGGCGTTGGTTCTCTTCCGGGAAAAAACCCATGTCATGACCTGAGTAGCTGAACTCCAAAGGGTAGTTGCTGCGCCAGTGCTGGCCTGGGAAATACGACCAAGTGGCTTGGTGCTCACAGCGCGGGTGAGCTTCCCGATCACTCCACCCACCGGTTCCTTCATCAGGCTTTGCTCGTCTGGACCTACACATAGCATTAGCAAAACCCTCCCGAAGTAAGCGGTATGAGACCTACATTCAACTTCAAGAAGGAGCCCTTGCTGGTTCGCCCATGATATGAACTCGCATGGGTACGGAACACGGGATTTCACCAGTTCTCCCATGTAATTATGGCGCTCCTGCGGCTGGACTAGGAATCTAGAATTGCCGATTTCTCCAGGGAGGATGTTGACCATCGCCTCAATGACCCGAGTCAGACCGACGTTTCCCCGATGGTCATCCGTCGTGAACCCGAGGTCAGACATCCGGTCCGCGCTCGAGATAACCCAATCATAGATCACGAGCTTCGACTCCTTTCCCTGCATGGAGTCGGTCGTGGACACAAACGGGACATTTTCTGGACTGAGTATCCCCAACTGTACCATTCGGAAAAACGTCTGACGAATTCTCACTAGCTGGGCGGTATACGGCGTGATGACTGTAATGTCACCACTCTTGTAGCCCCCATGTCGATGATTCATCATGACAATTTGGACAACGAGCAGACGGTGCGCATCGTTATACCGAGACTTCCCAACCTCCTCCACGGTGCAGGTAGAGTTTCTGACGCTAATCACCAAATTCCCATAGTCGATATTCGAGGAATGTCTAGGTGTATCAATAGAAGGGACATTGGGATCGTTATCTTTCCCTACAAAACCAACTGCGGGTGTCGGACCAGTTAGAATCAGTGCCTTCATGGCTTTGAGATAGCCCGGCAAGACTGTTATCTCATTTGTAGATGGGTGACTTTTAAGTTGCCCATTGTACGTCCTTCTGTTCGGAAACTCCGCAAATACCGGCCGATACCGAAACTGCTCGTCCAGTTTGTGCGTGGGATGTCCCATCCTTGAGAGACGAGTGGGCATAGGTAGTCTCAACTGCGCAGAGAACTCATTCAATTTTGGTTGATCATACGCAGAAAGCACGGTCGGCTGGAGCTGCTTTTCGTCTCCGCAACTGATGATACCGACAACCTTGTGCGAGAAGACGGATTTGGCAGCGAACACCCAACTGTTGGGCTCAGTCTCTTTGAAGTCCTCATCCCTGATCTGGATGATTGCCTTTGCGTCTTTCCCGAAGTGAGTTGAGATCATTGAATCGCCGGCGTTATTGTTTGTCGAAATCAGAAAAGTAGCTTCTTGGACAACCAACTGTGCGGCCTTCTTAAACGCCAGAAGTGCCTTTCGTTTCTCTTCATCAGAGAACTGCCGGAAATTCTTTTCTTGGAGCATACTGGTGAATTTCCGAATCTCAGCCAGCATGTCAACCTCTTCACCTTCTGGGTCCAAGCCATCTTCAATAAGATCATACAGGTCACCTTTGGACTTGGCAATCTGCTCTTCAGACGGATAAGAGGCGACAAGTGTTCTTTCTTCATTCATGGCAAGACGGATCACATGGCTCTCCAAAGATTTAGAGGGAACCCCGTATGACTTAGCGAAATGATCTTCTTTCATGTTGTTGATGAGCTGAGAGATCAAAACCTGGCTGTCAGAGGACACATTCATTGGGATGAAACTCTCGTCTTCAATAGCACTTTGCGGCATTGGGCCCATTTGGGTGAATTCCGATGGATCGAAGTTTTCGTGCTCTTCGTCATCCGTGACTTCCTTTCTTGTATCCCTCCCGTGAGTCTGGAAAGCCCTAGCTTCCGAAACTGGTCTGTAAACACGCAAGACGTCCATAGACATATGCGATAGCTGCATAAACTTATCAGCAGTCTCACATGCCGCGTCACCTGCGAAGTGCGTGGGAGTTGTGTAGATGACATGAATGTCTAGCAGACGGCAAACGGCAGCGATTCCCATCAAGGTCAAAGACTTTCCCGTCCCTGGAAAACCCTCTATAAGTAGAAGGCGTTCTGGGAACTCGCGGAGCGACTCGATAACCTTTCTCTGACCAGCTGTCCAGGTTATGCCAGGAATATTGAGTACAGTGTCGATCGCTGTCTCGACTTCCTCGGAATCAAAATCCAGACCAGAGAAGGGATCGATGATGCGTCGAGCACCGGCATGTTGGTTTAGCAGGATTCTGTGCCATCTTTCCTGAGCGGGGTAGCAAAGACGATTCATTGCATCGACCTGCCGCTGTGCCCCAGCGGCTGGAACTCTGATGGCGATCGCTGCAGGAAGGAAGATGACACGCTGTCCGACCTCGACGGCGAACTTTTGATAGAACCCAAAGCTTGCTCCAGGCACATAGAAGAGAGCATTCGATTCGTAAGGGAGATTGAAGACGTTTGGCATGGCAATTGCACTGCAGAAAGTCTTCTTCAAACCGAATTTATTAGGAGGTCGGAACCCGATCTTGATGACCGTCCCATCGCGAGGAACGAACCGGTCAACTGCTCCATCCTCGGAAGCTGGCAAGGTGAATTTCACCAGTGCCATGATAATAGAATCTGTCACCTTGATAAAGGCAACATGCTGGGGGTTAGCAGAGACTGACTGGGCGATTCTCAGCTCTCTCTGATACTCCAGGTAAGAGGCATATGTGAAAATGATCCTCGCCTCATCGAGATTGGCAAATGAATTCTGGGCGTGGTGTTCCATGATGCCATTGCCCTCGCGCTGTACATATTTTCGTCCCATCAGCATTCCCCATTGAGTCATCACTTTCCCTTGTTGGTTTCGGTACGGGCCTAGATTCCAAGTGGCACCCTTCGGAAAGTCAAACACCTGGCGCCGAAGCCTCTCCATTTCTTCGCGTTTGCGCTTGGTTTGCGCGTCTTCCGAAGTGTAGTCTATCCATCTTGCATTCAGGCGAAATGCGACATGCTTTCGACTTTTTGGGTCAGCCGAAAAGTTGAGGGCAAGGTTGCGAGCGAACAGCAGGAGTTTCTTGTCTTCGCTGTTCAAGAAAGGGGCGTCATAGTCGAGGCCAATTCCAATGCCTCCGTTTGTCACAAAATGAACGAGGTAACTGTCTTGCATTTCGTGTCTCGATTGACTAGCACCCTTCCCAGAACGTTCTTTGATGGACATGTCAAGAACATCATACCCAGTGACGTGGTCGAGGACGTGAAATTCCAGGAAAGAACGATGAACAGGTGTGCAATCGAGTGTAGCTGTAAACTCAATAATGAGCTTGCGGGAAACGCTGGCGCCTCTAACTTTGACACGCATATTGACACCGGTTTCCTTTGGTAACCAGCTTTCCGGAAGAAATGCATTCGCAGGTCTGCCATCAGGGCCTATGATCCTCAGATGGAATTGACCATATTTCCACTGAGTTCCATTAAATTCCTTGGCTTCATCCGAATCCCTGGCACAAACAGGAATCAGATTTTGGGCATCGTCCTTTTCTTTGGCCTCCTTAGTTTTGGATTGGGAAGGCAGCGGAACCTGATATTTATTAGCGTGCATGTACCTATGATGGAAAAATGCCAACCCACGTATGCCTGGTAGGAAAACTGGTCAAAAAGCAAGTCCAGACGACCATAGTCTTCCTCAAATGGCGCAAGATTGAGCTCCAAAGGCTCATTGTCGGTAAACGGGACAGGTGTAGGGTGATGGGGCTCGGTTTCCGACGCGGGAGAGTCTTCAACTTCCCATTCGGACATTTTGGCTCTGTTGTGTCTCTGGCAGAAGAAGTTAGATGGCGGTTCTTTTGAGTTAGCTAGAAGACATGACTCACCCTTGAGCTGTTGAGGTAGTTGCTGAAACGTGAAGACTGAATCCGACAAGATCTAGGCTTCGTACCTTATGCTTCTAGCAACGAGGAGGTAAAGGCAAGGAAGACAGGGAATAGAGAGCTGCGAGGCGAGAGTTACAGCCTAGAGGCTTATGGAGACCTGATGAATGTGATGAGATGAGAGGAGGGGGCGAGTGGAAGAGGTGAGAGGAAGAGGCGTGAGAGGAAGAGGTGTGAGAGGAAGAGG